TATCTCTTCCATCCCCCATGTCCAGAAGATGGCGAGATGACATCACTGTCACCGTAGTATTTTTCGGGAAGGATTAAGACCACTAGGATTAAATCCTAAAGAAGATAGTAAAGATTGATATTGTAAATACAAAAAAAAAAATTTCTTTGATTTGTGATTATTTAAATCTGTTTATAAAATTATTATTTTTTTAAATAGTTTGATTAAAAATACAAAAAATTTATTTTAATGTTTTTTTTTTATCACATCAAATCGATCAGTACAAATGTATATAAAGAAAAATAAAAAATTTGTTAACTTTCTTCTGATTAATATAATATGAATGAATATTTTCAAATTACTTTTTATTATTTTGTAGCTAGTCAAGCTATTTAAATTTTATTTAAGTTATTATTTAATACATTTTTTAAAAAATTCCTAATTATCTTACAGTTTATCTTACAGTTGTTAACTTTATATGTAATAGAGAAAAATAAATAACTATAAGAAAATTCTTTTTAAAAAACTTTGTAAATTTGATCATCAATGTATACCATAAAATATATTGTTTGAATAAATGATTTTATATTTTAAAAAAAAACTATTATAAAAAAATCATAACCATTTTTTATTTGATTATTTGATATACTGTATATACTGCACATGCTTGATTGAAATTTATTTTAAAATTACCACTACAATAAATTTATATATTGTATGATTCGAAAATAGTAAAATAAAAAAATTTTTTAATTATTTTTTTGTTTAACAAAATTATTTCTCAATAATTTATTTTGATCATTTATTTTAATGCTTTTTCAAAAAAAAAAAAATTACAATTTTTTTTTTATCATCAAACTTTTTTGATTTAATATTTAATAAATAATATACAATATTTAAATAATTTATTATAATTCTTTATAAATAATTATATAAAAAATATTAATTGTTAACATTTTTACTTGGAGAAGTTATTATATTATTGAATAATAAAAGATTTAATATTATTTAAAATTTTGATTAAAATATAATACTGTATAAGTAACACTATTAATAATTTTACAATAATGCTTTTATATCTTCAATATAAAAAGTACTGTAATAAGTTACAGTAGTTAAACGATCTGATCTGCACAATAAAAAAATCAATTAAGTTTCCTGAATCTTGAACCATTTTTTACATAAAACTGACCAACGAAAAAAATCATATTCTAATGTAATTACATTATATTTATTAAAACAATATAGTTGTTCAAATTTCTATTACATTTCAAAGTTATGAATTTAAATTAAATTCTTCCTATCCCAAAATTTTCTCAAAAAAAATAATGAATGACCTTATATTTAAAATAATCAAGCAGATTGCTAAAAAAAACAGCAGGAAAGCAGTAATCAAATCTTTTTTTTTTTGGTGGTTTATTTCTCTGGAATTAAAAACCGTCTAACCATCGTCCATTTTGGTTGCAATAAAAGATTCGACTCCATTAAACGTAATTGCTATAAATAATCACTCCTATCCACAGAATATTAAAAACTTCACCAACGAGAACGGTTATTTACAGCAGCATTATAACCACGACCACTACTGCTGCCATATCTTGATCGTCCTAAGAAAAGGAACCCAAAAGGTTATTTAAAATCACAACGGACAATTAATTAAATTATTTATAATAGGTTCGTAAAAATTACCATTATTAGTGCTAGCGACAGCGAGTTTTACAAGCTCAAGAAGCTTAGGGTCGACTTCCTGATTAGCTTCTCGTAATATATTTACCAAATCTTTAGCTTGTTTAGCATTTTCCATTGTAAAGAACGTTATTGCAGAACCTTTCGCGCCACCACGTCCTGTTCGCCCAATACGATGTACATAATCCTGAAAACATGTTTATAATAAGTATAACTACACCATTTGATTTAAACCAAATTTGAATATTGGAAGTTACTTGCCTCAACATTGGTAGGGAAGTCATAATTAATAACGAGTTTTACATCCTTAACATCTGGAGTCCAATAAATGTGTGTAAGCAATTAAATTATATTAAATTTCGGCGATCTTGCCGATTAACCTTTCAAGGTCTGGCGAGTAATGATGCACAAATTGGATAGCAATATACAACATGACAAACGTGCATCAAACAAAAAAATCACAAGACAGATAGAGTATAAAATTAAAGGATATGTAAGTCCCAATGCCAAATTAGACGAGCAGCGGCAAGCAAACCAAGTATCAGATAACAGGACAGCACGATGGTCAGCACATGACACTTCTTTTGAAATAAAAAGACGGCATCCATGAAAATCCTTCTAAGTGATTCAGTGTACTTGAAAAACCACATGAACTAGGTTGTGAACTCCATAACTCCTAATCAGTAAGTCGAGAATGTAGACCGTGGAGGATTACGCGATGAAACCAAAAAAGATTGAATTAGCCATAGCTCAATCCAAATCTCAGTTTCCCCGTATCAAACATCAAACAAGACCCGGTGTAACCCGCATAAAACCTATACCCTTTGTCGTTTGTTCTCGTTTCAACCAGTACTTTTTTCTCATTACTAATGCTATCTTTCTTTAGTTTTTTTTGAGGAGATGCACCTTTTTATGAAATGTCTTTTTCGAGCTGTTAATACTTGTTGCCCGCGGCTACACCTGGCATTTTTCAGGGGACCCACACACGTACAGCAATACAGAAAGCAACATGTTATGTGAACAAAAAAACATCAATTTTAAATAATTAAAGATGACTTTACCAATTCCTCTGGATGCAACATCAGTGGCCACCATTATAGGTGATTTTCCGCTTCGAAATTCACTTAGCACCCAATCACGTTCAGTTTGTGCCTTGTCTCCATGAATTGCAAGTGCTGGCCATCCATCTTGACGTAAATATTTGGTGATTTCGTCTGCCGTGCGTTTGGTACCAGTGAAAATTAATGTTTTATTATCTTTTTGATCCATGATGCGTTCGAGGTGTTTAACCAACCTACACGTAAATAAAGGAAATAATACATATAAAAATTGGTTGTCATATTTTAAGACAAGTTTAATAACTTGAAACTTACTTCATTCGCTTTTCATATTCTGAACAAACTTCAACAGTTTGGCTTATATTATGACTTGCTGATAAATCAAGTGAACCAATGTTAACTTGAATAAAATCTGTCAGATAATCTTCAGCCAGTCGTTTAACTTCTTTAGGCCAGGTTGCACTCCACATGAGTGTTTGTCTATCTGGTCTAATTTGTTCAACGATTTTCCTAATCTGAGGCTCGAATCCCATATCCAACATTCGGTCTGCTTCATCAAGAACAAGATACGTAACTCGACGAAGATTAGTTTTCCTAGACTCTAACATATCTATTAGTCTTCCTGGTGTAGCAATGCAGATTTCGACTCCGAGAGCTAGCTCACGAGCCTGAGGACCTTTAGGAACTCCACCATAAACACAGGTGTTCTTGATTTTTGATGATTTTCCAAATTTGGTACATTCTTGTTGAATTTGTACAGCCAACTCACGAGTTGGTGCAAGGATAAGTACGATTGGACCGTCACCAGGTTCGAGGAAGGGTTGAGCATTGATGTGAACAATTGATGGTAGGCAGTAAGCGAGTGTTTTACCAGATCCGGTTTCAGCAATACCCACAACATCACGACCTGAAAGCGCCATCGGCCACCCTTGAGACTGGATTGGTGTAGGTGCTGTGAAGCCCAATTCAAGCACTTCTTTCAATACGTAGGCTACGTCGTAAAAGTGTGTCAGATATGTGGCAGCAAATAAAGTTTCAAAAAGAATAAAAACCTGTTTATAGTTACCTGGAAAATTGGCTTCTTCAAAAGTCTCAACTGGCTTTGGAATGTCACGACCAAAGACCTTCATATCATGTCGTCTCCGGTACTCCTCAACTTGCACTTGTGATCGAGACATAACATTGGGATGTTCGGTATAAAAGTTCTTTTCAAACTTTGGAAGCTTGGAAAGATCCCA